TAGTACTGCTATTTTATTAATGATGCAACCCACAAATTATCCTTCTCAAAGAACCATAAATCATTTCAATAAAACATACCTTTAACGGATACAGGTACCCAGCGTGTAAACTGTTACAGGACACAAAATGGCTGGTGCAGGAAATGAGGGGTAGGTTACAAAATTTCTAAGAGCAGAAGTGGTTTTGAAGTAATAAGTAGAAACAAAAAATAACCTAACCTCCTCAAGATAACCACTAGAACCCGCCAGAAAGTGCTACCGCACTGTGTGAGGAAGTGAACTAGAGAGGGCTAGAGCGCACTCACAGAGGAAGGAAACACCCATGCCTGGTTTCATAAACCATCTTATTTAAGTCAGATTTATCTCACGTGATATATGTCTAGCTTTTAGTCTTCAAGTAATATCCATACAGAAGCCCAATAACTGTTGTTTAGTGTAAAACTGTAGGTCATCTTCATCTTGAGAGGAGGATTATTTAAAAGAACGAAAGAAAGAAAAAAAAAAGGTTTGTGCCAGGTGTGGCTGAAATCCCAGCACTCTGGGAGGCTGGAGGCAGGAGGATTTCTGATTCAAGCCCAAGCTGGGCAACTTAGTGACTTAGCAAGACCCTGTTTAAAAATGTAAAACACATCTTTGTTTAGTGGCTGGGAAGGCCATGGGTTCATCCAGAGCCACACACACATGCACACACATACATGAACAAACACTTTTTACATACTTTATGATTCCAGCTTTTTTACATACTATATGATTCTAACTGTATGAAGTCTCAGGTAGGGCAAAATTAAACCACAGAAGCAGATCAGTGATTGCCTCGGTTGACATCTGAGAGAAGAGACTGACTGCAAAAGAGCACCAGGGAAAGTGTTCCGTACTTTGACTCAGCAGAGATTAAATGACTATAACTTGCCCAAATTCTTCAAGCTGCTCACCAAAACCAGGTAGCTTTTATTGCAAATTATACTTGAAAAGTATACTTATAAAGATTAGCAACTTGGGGTTTTCAGATTTTGGAATAAAATTCTTCCAGCAAACGTAAGTTTCCAGGCTAATCCTTTTCCCCCAATATAACTATAATTGGCATGAAACTGAGTAGCCTGGAAAGCTTCTAAGTTCAAAGATGTCAGAACCACAGTCCCTCTTTGTCCTAACTGCAGTCTAGCCCTGATTGGCAGGAGAAACAGATGCTACCTGCCATCCCAAAGCAGAGTTACAAACTAGTTAGTGGGTGGAGAATGTTAGGTGGCCATGTAAAGACAAAAGGAGCAAACATATACAATGTGCCAGGCACTTCCGCACCTGACCATTTGCTGAGCGAAACTCTAACTCATACTTACTAGTTGAAGAGAGGGGAAGCCAGATGTACTTATGCTCTGTCGATGGCACTGGCCAAAGTTTGGTGGGAGAGTAAACTGTTTCCTTATTTCTGCCGAAGAAAACCTTGAATTAAAATAGAAAAAGCTAAATGAAGTTATTGGTTTGAAAGAATCATCACAGTTACAGGTGCAATCTTTGATGTGCTATAAAATATACATCTTAGCTGAGTAACTGGCAGAACCATCAAAGTTCCTTCAGTGGCCTGTGAATGGACGTGTTCATTTTAGTTTTTATTTCTTTGGTCCTGGGGGTCGAACTCAGGACCTGACACTTGTGAGGCAGGTGCAGCACCACTGAGCTAAATTCCCAGCCCAGGACACGCTTACTTTTGTCTAATAATGTACACCTGGGAGAAGTTCTCAGGGGCCAGGATGCCTGAGATCACAGTCTTGCCTGATGCTGGAAGGATGACGGAAGAAGGAAGAATCTGAAGCCAAGAAAAAGATAGAGGGCTTTGCCTCCTCTCTAAGCTACTCACAGGAGTTGGCCCTATAAGAACATCTGGTCTCTGAGTAGAGTCCTGAGCTGCCATTTTGGTCCAGCCTTTCTCATGGTGAACCCTTCAGGTCAGCTGCCTGCGACAACAGAGAATACCAAGGAGCTGTTGTTATTAGGGTTAGATCATGGATGCAGCCTGGAATTCCCAAGGACTGTATTTTCCCAAATTGTTCTTAGTGTAATAATCCTTTTGGTTGCTTACATTGACACTGCTGAGTCTTCAGCCAATATGTCTCACAGCCAGGAACTACATCTATGAAAGAAAGTTGATCTCTACGTGAACTCAAGCACCTGCAAGCACACACTCACAGGTCAGTAATAACCTGGTTTGCAAACAGATGAACTTCTGGGCACTCATGTTTTTACCCATGTGTTTGGAACTCAGAACATGATTTTTCATTATATTATTATATTGGTAGTTA